GCTTAAGATTCTCTCTCTCTTTCCTCTCTCTCTCCCTCCCTCCCTCCCTCCCCCACGCACATGCCCCCTGCTCGCACTTGCTTTCTCATTCTCTCTCTAGAAAAAATTAGGGGCACCTTGGGTGGTTCAGTCAGTTAAGCATCCGACTTCAGTTCAGGTCATGATCTCATGGCTCATGAGTTTGAGCCCCGCATCTGGATCTATGCTGACAACTCAGAGCCTGGAGTCTGCTTCGGATTCTGTGTCACCCTCTCTCTCTGCCCCTCCCCCACTCATTTTCTCTCTCTCTCTGTCTCTCAAAAATCAATGAACATTAAATTTTTTAATTAAAAAAAATTCTCTCTCTGCCTCTCTCCCTGACTCATGCTCTCTCTCTCTCTCTCTCAAAAAAAAAAAAAAAAAGAAAAGAAAAGAAAAGAAACTAATATAGCACTCAATGTATAACACAATAAAATTTTTATTAATTAAATCTAAGTTTTTGAAAAGTAGAATCGTTTGGGGCACCTGGCTAGCTCAGATGGTAGAGCATATAACTCTTGATCTCAGGACACAGAGCCCCATGTTTCGTGCATAGAGATTACTTTTAAAAAAGAGGAGGAATAGAATCATTTCTATACTAGCTGTATAACTTGGTAGTCATTAACTTTTCTGAAATTGTCTTCCCATCTTTAAAAACAGAGACAATCCCTTGCCAGCCCACTTCACAAGGTTGCTCAGATAATTAAATGAGATAATAATGTATATGAACAAGCACCGAAAATTGTAAACTGTTGTAAAAATATGAGGTGTTGGTATTATAGTAGTTCCATAACTGTGTTGACCAATGAGAGAAGACAGAAGTAACATTTATTGAAAACCAGCCAAGTTGCAGGAACAAGTTAACTCTTATAGCATCATTGTGGTAAGAAACACAATACTGTTTTCCCTTGCCCAGTGGTCATTTGCCTTTCTCCCCCACAACCCTGATCTCCCCCACAAACCTCCTCCAAGGTGTCACCACATTCTCAGCCCCTCTCACTGCTCCATTTGCCTTTCCTTTGATTTTAGCACCTCGACTTTGCTTTCAAGGGAAGCTGTGCCACTCAATCATGTATTTTAGGTGGATTCCCCACTAGGATATAACCTCTATTTCAGCTCCAAAGGAGGGCATGTGGCCTATGTCTCAGCAAAGCTACATATGCCATCTCTCTGATCACAAGGAGCAGTTCAGGAATATGTATACAATCCAATCCAGCACCCCACCCCCCACCCCCTGCCCGGGATGTGTCTTGGGCCTTTTAGATTGAGAGTAGCTCCTCTGGTGGTCTTAGGACTGTGACAGTATGTGCTAGAAGCTGCCAGAGGACTCCCTGACGAGTGATCCTAGCTGCCACTAAAGTCAGTAAAGAAGAGGAGCGCCTGGGTGGCTCAGTCCGGTAAGTCCAGTGACTCTTGATCTCAGCTCAGCTCATGGTCTCGCGTTTGTGAGCCAAAGCCCCGTGTGAGGCTATACATTGTCAGTTCAGAGCCTGCTTGGGATCCTCTCTCTCCCTTTCTCTCTGTCCCTCCCCGCCCCCAATACCCAAAATAAAGAAAACTTTTTAAAAAATCAATAAAGAAGAAAGCAGATCTGAGACATTTTTTAAAAAGCCCAGTCCAGGTCACAGTCTCTAAAATCCTGGATGCAGCCATGCCTGAAGCCATTTACTTATAAGAGTCAATACATTCCCTTCCTCCCTCATGTGCCCACCATCCCACCATCCCAAAACAGTTTGGGTAGGATTTTATATTACTTGCACAAAGAAAGTCCTAATTAAGACACACTACATGAGTATTTCAGTTGAGATAAGACAACTTAAAAACCTTCATGAAGGAGTGTCTGGGTGGCTCAGTCATTAAGCATTTGACTTCAGCTCAGGTCATGGCCTCATGGTTTGTGAGTTCAAGTCCCACATTGGGTAAGCCCAGCTTCTCTCTCTCTCTCTCTCTCTGCCCTTACTAGGATTCTCTCTTTTTCTCTCTGCCTTGTGCTCATTTGTTCCCTCCCCTCAAAAAAAAAATAAAGTAAAATAAAAACATACATGAGGAAAACTGTGAGATACATAATCCCATCTATAATTAACTGAGGAGCATGAAGGAACTCAGAGGAACAATGATCAGGCTGTACATGGAAAGGACCTGAAATACAACAAATATATATTGAGTGCCTAGTATGTGCTTGGTACTGTTCTAGGCACGGAGAATACCAAAGTGAACAACAACAAAAAGACAAAATCTCTGCCCTCTTGGACATAATTCTATTTTAATGGTTTTTTAAAAATTTATTTCTTAGAGATAGAGACAGCGTGAACAGGGGAGGGTCAGAGAGAGAGGAAGATACAGAATCCGAAGCAGGCTCCAGGCTCTGAGCTAGCTGTCAGCACAGAGCCTGATGCGGGGCTTGAACCCACGAACCGTGAGATCATGACCTGAGCCAAAGTCGGACGCTTAACTGACTGAGCCACCCAGGCGCCCCTCTTGGACATAATTCTAGAATGTTGGGAGGCGGGGGACAAATTTAAAAATTATATAGTACTTTAGAAGGTGATAAAGGCCAGGAAGAAACATAAAGAAGGGAGAACAGTGAATACCAGGTTGCTTCTGAAATCCTCACAAGGAGCCAGTTAGAGAGGAGGGCTCATTCATCCCAACTTTAGCACAAAGAGGTTAAGTGATTTGCTCAAAGTTGTCAACTAGCAAGTGGCAGAATGAGCATCAGAAAATGGGAAAAAAGTTACAGGACATTTAATCTCTCTCCCAGATTAGACTGCCTCCCAGCCCAGGAGTCTTTTAACTGGCAACTTCACTCATCTTCACTGGGTTTCATTATTTATTGACCTCCTGTCCTGTGATCTGCCTAAGATCACACACCAGTAGAAACGGCTTTTGATACTACTGACCATCCTTTTCCAAACCTTTCTCTTGACCTCAGTGACACTGATGTTCTAGTTCTATTTCCCTTCCCAGTTAGTTTTGCCCCTTTTGATTTTCTTATTCCTCTCACCACGTGAATATGGGTCACCAGCCACACTGCACCATACTGAACTCTGTCAGGGAACACCACTCATTTATTTCATAGTCTGTGAGTTCAGTATGCAGCTTGAGCAGCTGTATACAACAGCCCTATACCTCTTGCACTTCTCTTATTTATGCTACTGACTCCAGTTCCATTTCTGCAGATTCTCCCAAAACTTTATGGGTAGCTTCTGCCCTGCACCATTGGAGAAAATGATAAAGCAGCCTGCATCTCCCACCCACCCATCCTTGCAAGAGGCTCTTTACCTTTCCATGCCCACAGGCATCAGTGGGGGCAGAGACAGTGGATATTTTGTTGGCACCACCAGTGCACAAATCCACAAGGAGTCCCCTTGGTAGATGGTCTCTATGATTAGACACTGGTTAGACACTATTGTTAGATATCAATTGTATTGACATCTAAATAATTTCTGGACTTAGAAGCAACTTATAAGTTTCTTGTAACTCTAAAAGCTACAATTTGACATATTTTTCTGTACTAAGCCAGGTAGGCATATTATTTCATTCAATCCTCACAACATTACATTGTTCATTTGTCTAAGATTCAAAGAGGTCCTGTGATCTGCCTAAGATCACACACTGATAGAAACGGAATTTGGACCAGGTCCATTGGACCTCAAAGGCCATGCTCCCTCTGGCTTTGTAAGCTGCCTCTCAGTATCACTTAGCACCATGTTGAGTACAGGACAGTAATAATTAAAACTATTTCAGTATACAGTTTAAACAAATCTCATCCTATGCACAATCCCACTTACTATTCAATAATAACCCTGAGAAGTAGGTAGTAGATTCATCCTTAGATTTAAGTAAAAAAACTAAATAACAGAAGACAGAATGTTTTCTGAATCATTTAGATACAAAAGAGAGCCAGGATCCAAACGCAAGTCTTCTCCAGGTACTTCATTCTGAGCCATGCTCTGCCTCAGTAAGTGTTGTGGGGTTTTTTGTTTTTTTAAATTTTTTAAAATTTATTTCTGAGAGAGAGAGACAGCGTGAGCAGGGGAGGGTCAGAGAGAGAGGGAGACACAGAATCCGGAACAGGCTCCAGGCCCTGAACCAGCTGTCAGCACAGAGCCCGATGCAGGGCTCAAACCAACGAACCATGAGATCATGACCTGAGCTGAAGTCGGAGGCTTAACCGACTGAGCCACCCAGACACCCCTCAGTAAGTGTTGTTTGATACAGAATATGTGAGCTAGGGAATGAAGGGTTAAGGACAATGCCTTTTTCCTTTAATAGCCTGTAGCCTCCTAGGCACCGAAGTCTGTGTTCATTCATGCAATATTTACTGAGCACCTAGTATGTGCAGGTGCTGAATATATAACAGTGAACAAAGACTGTCCCAATTCCTGAACTCATGGAGCTTGGAAATAATTTGTTTGTGCAAGACACAAACAAATAATTTCAGACAATAAGTGCTACAGGACAATGTAAAAGGAAATAAGGGGTGGGAAAATTTAAATAGAGGTCATAGAAGCCGTTTCTACGAAGGTAACATTGAATGAACTGGGAACCTGCTGATGGATTCATTGTTTGATATCAGCCTTAACTAGTTTTTGTTGGCCATTAGGCTATTTATGGTTCTGAATACCCTTTTGTGCCTTATATTGCAAATGCCCAAAGTGCAACTGTAGAGGCAAAGCAAAACGGAGAACTCTTTTCAATTGTTTTATTCCTCTGACCTTGCCTTTGCCGTCAGGGTCACACCCCCCACTGCCACGCCCATTCTTCTCCTTCGGACGCTCCCAGCCTGCGCAAGCGCAAAAGAAACTGCCATTCCTAGTGGAAGGCGCGGATCCCACCACAAAACGCATGCGCCCCTGGCCCGTAAGCCCCGCCCCGCCCCCTGCGCCGGCTCTCGAGCGCCTGCCGTTTCTCGGGGCGGGGCGGCGGGCAGGGACTGGGCGGAAAGGCGCGCGCCGGTGCGTGCGTGCGCGCGCGCCGCAGGCGGGCCAGTGAAGCCGGCGGCCCTGGCACGTGATCCGGGAGCAGCTAGGTCGCTTGGTGGCTTGGTCTGTCTGTCCGTCCGCGGGTGCCATCATGGCGGACGCGGCCAGTCAGGTGCTCCTGGGCTCCGGCCTCACCATCCTGTCCCAGCCGCTCATGTACGTGAAGGTGCTCATCCAGGTATGAGTCGTCGCCACCCCTTTCCCGCCCGCGCCTTGTTCAGTCGCCGCTGCCCTAGGCGCTTGGCGATCGGCTCCAGCCTTCCCGGGCCTTCAATCCCCTGAGATGCTGCTCCTTCCCTGCTGCCCCTCCTTCCCCGCGGGGACAGCGTCCACTGCCCGCGGCTCTCCCACTGCCCTGGGCCTTCCCCGGGTCTCGCTTCCCTTCCAGGCGGGGAGGCCCGATCCTTTCCCCGTAGCCAACTGCCGTCCTGCCCTGCCCGGTGGCTCCTCTGAACTTTGTTTTTTCATCCCTGAGGATTGATCCTGGCCAGTTGCCACCAAGAGCTTCCCAAGCCTCCCTTCTTACCTCTCTGAAATTAGAATTCACCTCTCCCCCGCCCCCAAATGCAAAACATTAAATCTTTTAAAGACAAATCTGAAATTAAAGGAGAGCCAGCACTTTGTTAGCAGCTTTTCTTTTTCTTGTTTTATTTGCTACTGTTACTCTTCTGAGATTTTAGCATCAGATACCCAGGTAAACACAAGGAGCTCATTCAGAAGTGAGAAGGATTCACCGAGCTCACTGAGCGCTCTCCAAGAGCAGCCCTTGGGGCTCATGACAGTGAAAACCACATGTATCCAAGCTGGAAATAGTTCAGTTGAAAGAGTTGAAGCATATATGTTAGTTTCTAATCGACTGGGATGAAATAACCCCTAAGTGGCATTTTATATTCACAGGCAAGTAAACCAGGTTTTAACTGATGATACACTATTTGATAGTATTTTCATTTGCCTTTCTAGAATTCCCTCTGATGAGGCTGTCATTCTTTTCTTTTCTTTTTTTTAAACTCCTGTTGAGAGTTGACATAATAATGTCATTCATTGTTCCAGGGAAGGGAGTAGTGGTTAGAACCCCTGTCCTTGCCATCTACCTTTCTGTCAGAAATATGCAAGATACTCAGGAGGGCCACATTTCTCACTATTGAGTTGATGCTACTCCACGTTATGTGCTGCTTGGTTGACTCATGTGGATTCAGATTCCACATGTAAAAGGCTATTATAAATTATTTGAACTAAGAACAAAGACTTTGATTGAAATGTGCTATGACATCTGAAACAGTTGGCACATTTGTAGCTAAATAGTGTCTTGAGATAACACTTTGTAGTAAATCTGCTTGGAGCTCAGTACTTCTGCAGGAGGCAGGGTTTTCTGTTGAGAACTCTTCTCAAAAATGTTAGTATTAGCCCTGATTACTCAACTTCTGTGTGTCGCCAAGTGTCTTAAGGTTTTTGGTGAAATTTACAAATGACCCAGTTTTGTTTTAAAAATGTTTTAAAAGTTTATTTATTTATTTTGAGAGAGAGCATAGGAGGAACAAAGAGAGAATCCCAAGCAGACTCTGCAACATGAGCGCAGTCTGATGCGAGGCTCAAACCCAGGAACCATGAGATCATGACCTGAGCCAAAGTCAGATGCTTAACTGCCTGAGCCACCCAGGCGCCCCCCCCCCTACTCAGTTTTAAAAATAGTTGTATGATAGCACTTGGAGGGAGCTCAGTCAGGAGTTAATTGAACAGATTAAGACTGACGGTAATAACGAGTCAAAACCAAATCCTATGGCATTTATTTTCTCAACTTTCCCTTTACCGCTAAAAATCTGAGTATGTTGTAGAAATAGAATGACAGTCATTAACTCTAAAATGGTCTTCATTAGGTTATTAAAGACAATCAGCTTGTTTAGCATGGATTTAGTTTATATAATTATTTCCCACATGAATTATCCCACTGTATCTGCATTTGCTTTTTGAGTGTTTCATCTTGATACCCAGATACAAAGCGGATGCTGGCTTAGTCTTCTGTTTTGTCCAAATATAAAAAATGTGTTTGGAGATCGTGGCTGGCTTAGTTGGAATAGCATGCCACTCGATCTCCCAGTCGTGAGTTTAAGCCCCACATTGGGCATGGAGATTACTTTTTAAAAAATGTGCTAGATTGGGGCGCCTGAGTGGCTCAGTCGGTTAAGCGTCCAACTTTGGCTCAGGTCATGATCTCACGGTTCATGGGTTCGAGCCCCGCGTCGGGCTCTGTGCTGACAGCCAGCTCAGAGCCTGGAGCCTGCTTCGAATTCTGTGACTCCCTCTCTGACCCTCCCCTGCTCACGCTGCCTCTCTCTCTCTCGGAAATAAATAAAACATTTTAAAATATAGGCTTTAAAAATGTGCTAGATTTTCTTTAGATAATATTTTTGAGCCTCCTCAGTAAACTGTAGCTTTTTCCTAACACAAAAGTTCCCTTACTCTGTTTTCAATTTGATGTTAGTCTAGCTCAGCTACATGGCTTACTTTGTAGAATTTGAACTAAAAGGAAGCTTGGAGTTCGTTGAAACTTAGTGTTACTAGTTGATGAAATAAGAAACTGACAAGGATAATACTTCATCATTGCCTCAGAAAACATGCACTGCAAATAATAACCTTGCAACCGAGCCATTTTGGGGAATATCGCTTAGCATTGATGCATTCTCTTGTTTTTAAAGGTGGGATATGAGCCTCTTCCTCCAACAATAGGACGAAATATTTTTGGGCGGCAAGTATGTCAGCTTCCTGGTCTGTTTTGTTATGGTAAGTGTTTTTGATTTATTTGGAATTGGAGGACATTGAGGAGGATGATGGGTAGGCAGGAGTTTTGGAAAGAAAAGATAAAGCCTGTTGACATGAAATTTCTATGTAACCGTTTCTTTGAGCTGGAATTTAAATCTCTGACTTGTGTTCTTAGCTCAGCACATCGCAAGCATCGATGGGAAGCGTGGGTTGTTCACAGGCTTAACTCCAAGGCTGTGTTCAGGAGTCCTGGGAACTGTGGTCCATGGTAAAGTTTTACAGGTAAGAATATCAGTTCATCTTCCCAGAGCTTTAGATGACCTTTTATGCAGTTGGTTCTGCTGACCAAGAACAAGTTTTTTTTTTGTTTGTTTGTTTTTACTAAATAATTTTGGGGGGGAAAGAGCACGCGAGGGAGGGGGGCAAAGGATCCAAAGCGGGCTCTGCACTGACAGACTGACAGCAGTGAGTCCCATGTGGGGCTTGAACTCATGAACCTGGAAATCATGACTGGAGCTGAAGTCGGACGCTCAACTGACTGAGCCACCCAGGTGCCCCAAGAACAGTTTTAAAGATATATTTATGACCATGATCCTTCTTCCTCTCGAAAACATTTACTTCAAATACCCATCTTTTTCTTTTTAAAAAAATTATTTATTTTTGAGAGAGAGAGAGAATGTGTCTACAAACGGGGGAGAGACAGAGAGAGAGAATCCCCAGCAGGCTCAGAGCTGTCAGCTCCTGCCGACGCAGGGCTCCGTCTCACACACCACGAGATCATGACCTGAGCCAGGATCATGAGTCAGACACGTAACCAGCTGAGCCACCCAGGTGCCCCCCAATACCCATTCTTAGTTCTTTCCTGGGAAGCAAGAGGAATTTGTATAAAACGAAGCAGTTGATTTTAGTTGCACAACCTTCTTCCTGTGAATCAGTCCTTCTGAGAAGAAAATGAATATGCTTATTTGATCTCTTGTATAGCTCATTTGATTCCTTCGAAGGAGGAAGGAAGCTGGTTAAAACATATGTATTTCTTTCTGAAGTTATTTTTCTCTTATTTCTGATATTACCCCTAGTAAAGTGTTTTCTGTTACAAACTTATTTTTATATATTTATGTTTAAAAGGGTTTTTTATTCATTTATATTTTAAAGTAAGCTCTACACCCAATGTGGGGCTTAAACTCATGACCCTGAGATCAAGAATTGCATGCTCTACCTACTGCGCCAGCCAGATGCCCCACAAACTTTTTTTTTTTTTTAATTTATTTATTTCTGAGAGAGAGAGAGAGGGACAGCGTGAGCAGGGGAGGTTCAGAGGGAGAGGGAGACACAGAATCGGAAACAGGTTCCAGGCTCTGAGCTAGCTGTCAGCACAGAGTCCGACGTGGGGCTGGAACCCACGAACCATGTGATTGTGACCTGAGCTGAAGTCGGCAGCTTAACCGACTGAGCCACCCAGGCACCCCTCACAAACTTTTTTTCTGAAAAAACTTAACAAGATAAACATAAAAGTCAGGATAGTGGTTATTTGTTGGGAGAAAGAAAGAAAAAGGGACTGTGCATGAGATTCAGGGGTGATGGAAATGATTTTCCATGACCTGGGTCATGACTATGTGGATATTTGTCATGTAATTATTTATTCCATCATACATTTATATTTTGTGCACTGTTTCTGCAAATGTGCTAATGTTACATAAATTAAAAAAAAATTTTTTTTATTTTTTAACCTCACCAACATGCCCATCAACTGCAGGGCTATGGTAACTCTTGGGAAGTAGGGGAAGAGATGTGAGGTGGAACTTTGGCTGTTTGTATCTGTGGCATTTGATTTTAAGAAAGCCAGAGATCTGAAGTCTGACACTTAACCGACTGAGCCACCCAGGCGCCCCACTAACTGCTTATTTAAATAGTACTCGGCACAGTCCTTCATTTACTTTGGTTGGCTTTAACATTACCCCAGTTCTAATGTTTTATCATCTGATGAGTCTGTCTTGATTTTGTTAAAGATTCATGATCTTACTGGCTTAGATTTTATATTTAAGCTTTTATTTAAATTCCAATTAGTTAATATACAGTGTAATATTAGTTTCAGGTGTATGGTATAGTGATTCAGCACTTCCTTAAATCACCCTATGCTTATCACAAATGCCGTATCTTAGTACCCATCATCTCTTTCACCCATATCCCTTCTAGTATCCATCAGTGTGTCCTCCGTAAAGAGTCTCTTTCCTGGTTTGCCTCTGTTTTGCCCTGTGGTCATTTTTGTTTTGTTTGTTTTTAATGTTTTATTTATTTTTGAGAGAGAGAGAGAGAGTACGAGCAGGGGAGGGGCAGTGAGAGTGAGACACAGGATCCTAAGCAGGCTTCAGGCTCTGAGCCGTCAGCACAGAAGCCAGTGCGGGGCTTGAATTCGTGAACCATGAGATCATGACCTGAGCCAAAGTCAGATGCTTAACTGACTGAGCCACCAGGTGCCCCATTTGTTTTGTTTCTTAAATTCCATGTATGAATGCTAATTGGCTTCAATTTTATTTATTTATTTATTATTTATTTATTTATTCATTCTTAAATAGTTTATTGTCAAGTTGGTTTCCATATAACACCCAGTGCTCATCCCCACAAGTGCCCCCCTCCGTGCCCATCACCCCTCATCCCCTCTCCCCCACCCCCATCAGTCCTCAGTTTGTTCTCAGGATTCAAGAGTCTCTCATGGTTTGCCTCCCTCCCTCTCCCCAACTATTTTTCCCCTTCTCCTCCTCCATGGTCCTCCATTAAGTTCCTCCTAATCCGCCTATACGTGCAAACATATGATATCTGTGACTTTGATTTTAAATTCTCTTCAGCCTTCATTGATTTTTGAGTTGGAAAGGTCTTCAGTAGGTTCCTCACATGGAAGCTCTTTCACCCTGCAGCCATTTTGTTACTCTTTACACTTAACTCTTTTAATTTTTTTAAACTCCACTTCCGATGTTGGGTTTGAACTCATGACCTTGAGATGAAGAGTTGCATGCTCTAAACCACGGAGCGAGCCAGGCGCTCCACCTTACACTTATTCTTGTTGTCATGCCTGTGAGCTGAATGTGGAAAAGTGTGAGTGAGAGTAGTAGAGTCCTAGTGGGCAGATATTTTTGGTGAATTGATTACTAGTCTTTCATTCCCAGCCACACCCTCCCCCAGGCCCAATGAAAGTACTGCACTTACCCAAGTGAGATTTATATATGGAAAGACAGCTGTCCTCCAGCCAGCTTTTTGTGTAGACTTAGAGCCAAAGTGAAAGTATTGCTTGAGAACAAGTTCCTGTATGTACTGGAAAAGTAATAAACTCCAGGTAATTAGGTACCCTGAATATATATGTTTCATGTGTAACCAAATGAAATATAACTGGATTGGTACTACACTTAGTATCAAAAGCAGCTTTATACAGCCAGGAAGAAAGACCAGTTCAGGTTTGGTGAAATTGTTAGTCTTTATAAGAAAGAGTTTTGTATATCTGAGCCAGAGTGAAATTACATTCTGTTCACAATAGTGTAGAAAGGACAGGAGGAAAATTTTATTAATGGAGTTAGAAAGTACAGAAATGAGTGAGAATTTTTATTTTATTACTTTTTTATTTTTTAAGTTTATTTATTTTTGAGAAAGAGCAGAGGGAGGCAGAGAGAAGGGGACAGAGAATCCCAAGTGGGCTCTGCTCTGACAGCAGAGAGGGGGATGCAGGGCTCAGCTCACAAACCATGATGTCATGACCTGAGCTAAAGTCAGACGCATAACCAACTGAGCCACCCAGGTGCCCCTAGAAATGAGTGAGAATTTTAAAATATGTCTGAAACTATTAGAATTACTCTAACTAAAGACTTGGAATTTGACCCCAAAACATCATTTTGCTTAATCTTGACATTTACTCTCTTCTGATTTTTAAAAAAATCTTTTTACAGTAGGAAGTGTTGTCTATTTTTTTAATCTGGTATGACTAGTGGCTCAGTTGCCTGACTTTTTTATTTCACCCGGCCCATCTTCTATTTCTGAAGTAGCCCACAAATAATATTTCCTCTTCCAATCTAGCCTGAGCTTTGGCAGTATTCATGTTCTCTAGAAGAGAACAAAATCTTCTCTAGCTTGTTTTAGAAGCAGTCAGATACAAAAGGAAAAGTGAGTCGATTTTAGCTATTCAGGCTCAGCACCAATTCTCTGTTCTTTTGTGAAGAAAAGAGACTTGCCCTAATTTGGTATTGGTACTTTTTTTTTTTAAGTGAGATAAAATTGGTACAACACATATGTTTCAGGTGTACAAAATTATAATTTGACATCTGTATTCATTATAAAGTGATCGTCTGGTTACCATCCATCACCATACATTTGACTCCATTTGCCCATTTCACTCATCTTCCATCCCCCTTCCCTCTGGTAACCCGTTCTTCGTGTGTGTGAATTGGTTTGATTTGTTTGTTTAAATTCCACATGTGAATGAAATCATACAGTTTTTGTCTTTCTCTTTGTGACTCATTTCACTTAACTTAGTACTCTCAAGGGCCATCCATGATGTCTCAAATGGCAAGATTCATTCTTTCTTATGGCTGAGCAATATACTCTATTTTGTATGTATACCACAATTTCCTTACCATTCATCCATCAATGGCCATTTAGGTTGTTTTTATATCTTGGCTACTGTAAATAATGCTGTTATAAATGTCAGAGTGCATATGTCTTTTCAAATTAGTGTTCATATTCTTCAGATAACCCAGAAGTAAAATACTGGATTTTATGGTAGTTTTTTTATTAAGTAGTCTCTATCCCCAACATGGGGCTCAAACTCACAACCCTGAGATCAAGAGTCACATCCTCTACCACCTGAGCCAGCCAGGCACCCGATGGGAGTTCTGTTCTTAACTTTTTGAGGAATGTGCACACTGTTGTCCATAGTGGCACCGCTAGTTTACGTTCCCACCAGTAGTATCGGGTTATTTTTCTCCACAGCTGTCTAACACCTGTTATTTCTTGTCTCTTTTGATGATAGCCAATAGAACTGATGTGAGGTGGTATCTCATGGTTTGGGTTTACATTTCCCTGCTGATGAGTGATGTTGAGCATCTTTTCATTTGCCTGTTGGCCATCTGTATGTCTTATATGGAACAATGTATATTCAGAATCTCTCCCCTTTTTTTAATTGGATTATTTGGTATTGGTCCTGCTTTTTCATGAAAAAGGCATGACGATTTTTCCATAACCTCAGGCCTAGGCTATGTTTATAGCAGTTTATTTTTGCTAAATGTGTATGTTTAGTAAGTGTTCTTGGATTTTTGTTTTGGTTTGTTGTCTTGTTTCTTCTTTTATTTATCTATTTATTAGAAAACAATTTTTTTGAGTGGGCCGCACACTGAGGCTTGAACTCACAACCTTGAGATCAAGACTTGAGCTGAGATCGAGAGTCAGACATTTAACTGACTAAGCATCCAGGCACCCCTGTTTCTTCTTTTAGATGAGAGTTTTCATGAGCATTTGTCTGTTCCTCTGGCTGGCCAGTATGTTAAACTTAGAGAACATCTTAGAGACACTTACTTCCAATTGATTAATAGAAATAGAAATTATTGGAGATACTCAGGGAAAAAAAATCAACTGTTTTACTCTCATTTTAATGTCCTCTCTCAGTGATACTATGACAGCCCTAATCACGCTTTCTTTTCTCTTCCTTTGTAGCATTACCAGGAATGTGACAAGGTTGAGGTATGTTGGAGCCAATTTGTATGCATGGGCCCATTTCCCTTCCAAATTATTACTGCTCTTTGGTCCTCCTTAAGAGAAGGGACAAGCAGTCCCTTTCATCTCAGTGAGTGTTGGTGTACAGAGTGGCCAGTAGTTGGAACAGTTCTATTTAAAACCATCAAGGTAGGGGCGCCTGGCTGGCTCATTCGGTGGAGCATGCAACTCTTGATCTTGGGGCTGTAGGTTCAAGCCCCGTGTTGTGTGTAAAGACTACTTTAAAAAAAAGAATCAGTCAAAACCTTCAAGGTATATGTCTTTCGTTTTGATTTCCAGGATTTAGGCTCTGGGAACATACAAAAAGAAGTCACACCTTCCTTTGACCAAGTTATCAAAGAGGTAAGAGACAAATTATGCCCTGTGCTATTTCCCGAAATCACAGTGTATGCAGTGTGGCAGTTTGTGGATCAGGATCACCAGGCCTGTGTGTTCAGTGTCTGATCCAAATGAAATCAGACCTTCAATTTAATTTGGGCTTTTCTACATATATGCCATAAAAAAGGGGAGAGGGGAAGCTATTTGGATTACATGCATTTGAAGGAAACTAATTTTGTCCATTCATTTCATCTTTAAAATTGAAGAACTTTTCCTGAAAGTCTTCTAATAGAGTTGTAAACATCTGGCATCTGTGTTAAATTAGTGGCCGGGGGGGCGCCTGGGTGGCTTAGTTGGTTAAGCATCCGACTTTCGCTTAGGTCATGATCTCGCGGTTCGTGGGTTCGAGCCCCGCGTCAGGCTCTGTGCTGACTGCCAGCTCAGAGCCTGGAGCCTGTTTCAGTCTGTGACTCCCTCTCTCTCTGACCCTCCCCTGCTCACGCTGTCTCTCTTTCTCTCTCCTAGAAATAAATAAAACATTAAAAAAAAAAAAAATTAGTGGCCAGGCCCTTTGTGAGTTGGATATTATCCATCTATCTGGAAAAGCTTTTTTTTTCTTTTTAATGTTTATTTACATTTGAGAGAGAGACAGAGTGTGAACAGGGGAGGGGCAGAGAGACAGAGACAGAGACAGAATCTAAATCAGACTCCAGGCTCTGAGCTGTCAGCACACAGCCTGATGTGGGGCTCAAACTCATGAGCCACAAGATCATGACCTGAGCCAAAGTCCTCAATGGACTGAGCCACGCAGGCGCCCCTCTCTCCAGAGAAGCTTTTACAATGTTATTCTGACTTGAGAGATTGTTCCTCATACCCATTTCCTGTTCCTATCTCCTACCATAGGAGTTTGTTTCATACCTGACTTAATATTTATGGCTTTCAAAAGTACTCTTTGATTTCTTGGTCTTCACATTGTCTACTTGTTTTTTGTGAGGTCACAATTTCTAGTAAATGCTGCTTTCGAAAATATATATTCCAGGGGCACCTGGGGTGGCTCAGTCATTTGAGCTTCCAACTTGATTTCAGCCCGGATCAATATCCCAGGGTCGTGGGATTGAGCCCCATGTCAGGCTCTGCACTGAACATGAAGCCTGCTTGTGATTCTCTTTCTCTCTCTCTCTCTCTCTCTCCCCCCCTCTTTCCCCCACTTTCCCCCACCACTCTCCCTCCCTCTGCCTCTCCTCCAACCCCCTCATGCACGTGATCTCCCTCTCTCTCTAATAAAATGAGAAAAAAAAAGCTTTAAAATAATAAATAAAATATATATTCCAAAACAAATCTTACTACAAGTGTAGATGTTAGACAAATCATAAGTTTTCTACTTTTATTTAAAAATAGAAGTACATGTATTAATATACATATTTTTTAAAATTTTTTTTAAAAATTTCTGAGAGAGAGAGAGAGCATGAGCAGGGGAAGGTCAGAGAGAGAGGGAGACATAGAATCTGAAGCAGGCTGCAGGCTTCTGAGCTAGCTGTCAGCACAGAGCCCGACGTGGGGCTCGAACCCACGAACGGTGAGATCATGACCTAAGCCGAAGTCGGACGCGTAACCGACTGAGCCACTCAGGCGCCCCCGTTTTGTATTTTCTTAACTTCAGTTGGCCCACCCTGTCCCACGGGCTCTTCTCAGGACTGCCATTGGTGTAGGGTGAGGGATGTCTTAACTAAGTGACCGAAGATGATGTTTAAATGCATAAATGAATGACCTGCTATTTACAACCTACCTCCAAGTATTGTGATTTAATTTCCTTTGCTGCTGCTTTGCAGAGTCCTGGACAAGAAATATAAACTAGGATAAATAGTATTTCTGAGATACTGCAGTTACATGGTTGTAGTGGAAAAACACATCAGAGTCGTTATGCTGGTATAGATTAAATAGAGCCTGACATTTGAATAATGTAGATATCGGAGTCTGAAATCACTCACAGTGAAGAAGTGACTTCAGAGTCTAACCACAGGCCGCACATTTTTCTTCCAGCTTTGTTACCGTTTGCTAGTGACCCTCCCCGTGTTTTTGCTTTTTTTTGTGGGTTTTTTTTTTCCGAATCTGTAAAATTGAGAAGCTAACAGAACTCTGATTTGCACATCAGTTTTGAGAAGTAACCCCAGCAGAACATTGGATTCCACGAGTGAACGGTCTGAGGAGATGACAGTACATTACAGTATCCCGTGCAGGGCAGCCCTGCCACCCACATCACTTCTCATGGGAATTTGAGTGTCGTTTATTTAGGTCTCAGAAGTGTGTGTTGATTGTTTCTAGACAACTCGAGAGATGATGGCTCGTTCTGCTGCTACCCTCATCACACATCCCTTCCACGGTATGTTCACACTCGGTAACTGAAATCTGATTTGTGACCTTAGTTTTTAGAGCACGAACTCTCCTCTCCCGACTGCATAGACGGGTTGATGTGGGAGTTCACTCAGGTGCCTTCCCAGCGTGTTTTTTGTTTGCTTGCTTGCTTTGGCGTTTATCCAGAGAGCAGAGTGTCTTTAGGTGGAAAAACTTTTTTTTCTTTTTCAGGGCTATCAAAATTTATGTCGACGTAGTTTTAAAAATCTTTTCTCTGTGTTCTGCAGTGATCACTCTGAGATCTATGGTACAGTTCATTGGCAGAGAATCCAAGTACTGGTAAGTATTTTTGGTTCCAAGGATTCAAGGAGATCAGTTGAAGCGCTTTCCTTTTTTTTTTAATCTTTAAATTTTTGAGAGAGAGAAAGAGTGCAAGCAGGAGAGGAACAGAGAGAGGGAGACACAGAAGCCGAAGCAGGCTCCAGGCTCTGAGCTGTCAGGTGCTTTACATTTTTATGGTGCCTTAGATATATATCATTTTGACAAATTGATACATCATTTGATCTGCACAGACACAAAAAAAGAGAAAATAGAAGAAAATGGCCTGGACAGGTTTAAGAAGCGACCCAGGATCTCAGAGTGAGTGGTGGAGACACTAAAGCCACAATTCACCATGACTCCGTGTGCCTAGGTAGTAGTATCTCCACACGTGTCTCCAAATTCAACTGTCTTTGCAGAGTGAGGGTGGCAGAAAAGGGGGTGAGATATAAATGTGACCTTGTCAAAAGTGATAATTGAACATTTTTGTTTTAGTAGCTCCAAAATAATCTTTATGTATTTTTGCCTTTTCATCTTCTCTACCTTAGTGGACTTTATGATTCCATAGTGACCATCTATCGGGAAGAAGGCATCCTAGGGTTTTTTGCGTAAGTAAATTGTTGATTTATGTGTGTGATTATTTGTGGGAGTGGAGAGCTTTAATGAAAACAAAGACATGATTTTTTTGTTTAATCCCTGGGGAAAATGTACTCTCTGGGTTAAGAGTGTTAAGCTCTCTTGAGGTTCCTCTGACTTAAATTCTTTTTTTTTTTTTTTTAATATTTTTATTTATTTCTAGGAGAGAGAGAGAGAGAGACAGCGTGAGAAGGGGAGGGTCAGAGAGAGAGGGAATCACAGACTCTGAAACAGGCTCCAGGCTCTGAGCTGGCAGTCAGCACAGAGCCCGACGCGGGGCTTGAACCCACGAACCGCGAGATCATGACCTAAGCGAAAGTCGGACGCTTAACCGACTAAGCCACCCAGGCGCCCCTTAAATTCTTTTGTAAAGTTCTCAAACTTTTGCTTCCAGACATCTAAAATATTGGAAGTTAGGGGTTTGTTTTTGTTTGAGGGGGATTTTTTCATTTTGTTTTAACAAATAAATTTATTCCAAGTTTCTACCTTTATAGTAAGTTCCTAATGATGTATAGTTGATAAACTGGGGAAACAATTTTTGAAGAATGGGACGATTATCTAACACGTATCTTCCTTATTCCGAGACCGAGAGTAATATGTTTTTGCAAGGCTGTATCTGTTCCCTTGAATTTCCTTTGGAAGAACTTAGACTACTACTCTCGTTCTTCTATTTTTAAAAAAAAAAAATTTTTAAGGTTTTATTTATTTCTGAGAAAGAGACGGTGTGAGCAGGGGAGGGTCAAAGAGAAAGGGAGACACAGAATCTGAAACAGGCTCCAGGCTCTGAGCTAGCTGTCAGCACAGAGCCCGACGCGGGGCTCGAACCCACGAACCGTGAGATCATGACCGGAGCCGAAATCGGCTGCTTAACCGACTGAGCCACCCAGGTGCCCCGACTCTCATTCTTCTGTTAACAACAGAAACTATAGGGGCACCTGCGTGGCTTAGTCGGTTAAGCGTCCCGACTTTCGCTTAGGTCATGATCTCGCGGTTCGTGGGTTCGAGCCCCGCGTCGAGCTCTGTGCTGACTGCCAGCTCAGAGCCTGGAGCCTGTTTCAGTCTGTGACTCCCTCTCTCTCTGACCCCCCCCTGCTCACGCTGTCTCTCTCTCTCTCTCTCTCTCTCTCCTAGAAAAAATAAAACATGAAAAAAAAAATAATTAAAAAATAATAGTAATTAAAAAAAACAACAACAGAAACTATAAATGGTCTTTTTTCATTTGCAGAGGGTTTCCACATCACTGTTTTTATCTGAGGGTCCTAGTCTGGGAGAAGGGCTCCTGGCTGGCTCATGTGGTGGAGCACGTGACTCTTGAGCTCAGGGTTGTTAGTTCTAAGCCCCACGTTGGGCATGGAGCCTACTTTAAAAACAAAAATAAATAAATCACCTGGGAGATAGGCGGGATGGTTACTGTTATTCTCATTTTAGAGATTAGAAAAAGTTGATGCTCTGGGAATTTCATTTGTTGCCAGTCAGGTAACTGACAAGGGATGGAAGTGGCATTTGAACCCCTGTCTTCAGTCTGTGGGGTAATGTTCATCTAGCGATTCCATGCTGCCTCACCTAGGTCACCCAGGCCCTGGGAATATGTTTTTTGATATCCTTCATCTATCTCTGTTTGGGCCATTCTTGTTTTGTGATTTTGTAGTCATTTTCGGCCCTGTGAAATTTGAATGTCAGTTACCTTAGCCAAAACAAGTATATAGTCTCTTCCCTGAAGCAGGCGCATTTTTGTCCCCACCTGCTCATACTTATTAACAGTAAGGTGAACCATTGGCCAGAGCCCCGAGACGTATAGCAGGCCTGCATTTGAAAAATGGAAATTGGGTTGCCTGGGTGGCTCAGTCTATTAAGCATCTCAGTCTTGATCTCAGCTCAGGTCTTGATTTCAGGGTCGTGAGTTCAAGCCCTGGATTGGGCTTCATGCCCAGCATGGAGCCTCCTTGAGGAAAAAAAGGGCGAAATGGGAAAGGCATTAGAAATTAGCTAGCCAGTAGTATAGTTACATTAAGTAGAATGATCTAGTTAGGACTAGATTCTGGCAGTCATTGTTTTTTACGTTCTCTAGAAGACTTTGAAACCTGTCTTTGAGAAGTGCTTGTATTGGGTGGATTATCTTTTTACTGATCATATTTTTTGGTTCTTATTTTTATTGTTTCTTCATGTAGGGGTCTTATTCCTCGCCTCCTAGGTGACATCATTTCTTTGTGGCTCTGTAACTCACTGGCCTACCTCGTCAATACCTATGCACTGGACAGTGGGGTAGGTTGTGATCTTGATGCGTTGTGCTGGTGCTGACTTTATCATTTTCACTGGGCAGCTTGGTTAGATTTAAAGTAAGGTGGTGGGGCGCCTGGCTGGCTCAGTCAGTAGAGCATGTGACTCAGAGTTTTGAGTTCAAGCCTCACATTTGGCATGGAGCCTGTTTAACAAAACAAAACAACAAGGTAAAGTAAGGTGGCACTTTGTTACGTGCCAGACTCATCATTATATAGGTAAACATTCTCAGTCAAGTCTTCAAAGGCTGATGGGATGACCTATACTATTGCCCAAAAAAGATGCGCCTAAAAGTCCTTGGGGTGTGGCTGAGTAAGCCTTGGGAATCTAGCCCTGTCTCTGTTCTGCAAGGGGACGACTGCTGTACTGGCACATGATTTTGGAGGGCGCCGCAAAGCAGGACAGTTTTATAGCGTGTTAAGGGTATTTCATCTAAAGTGTTAACAGGACTCCTGGTTTGGGCTTTTAGAAACCTCAGCTGGGAAGTTTTTGAGAATTAGCCTTTCCTGGCAGCTGCAGGCCTCTTTGTGCACAGGCAGCCCCGCTCCGTGGTGGAAGACAGAACACACACAGCGAGGACTAAAGCCACGCTGTCCATTGGTAGAGTACGGAGCCTGGGCTCCGCGGGATCTGGCGCACAGCTGGGTGTCTGTCCCTCAGTTATACCACATGTGTAGTTAATGTTGAATCAAGTTGATCTTTAGTTCACTGCCTTTTTATGCTCTTAATCAGGATTTTATGTTGCATCTCGAAATCAATTTTTAGGCTGTCAAAGAATCTAAAAATTTAGAGATCGAATATATGGATACGGTTGGGGACCGTTAGCTGTTAACATCGTCTTAATTTTCTTACTCATTCTAATAAAGGCTTTCTTCCGGTTTTAGGTTTCCACCATGAGTGAAATGAAAAGTTATTCCCAAGCTGTCACAGGAGTGAGTTTTTTAAAACCCTCTCAACCTTCTAGTTGTGTTTTGTTGTCTTTTCAATTTCACCCGGGTCACGTGTCATCACAGATGTCTCACAGGAGTGTCTCTCAAGTTCGTTAATGTTTGTCAGAGGTGAGAATGACCCAGGGTCCCGGCGTCACAGGACCAGCATTAACAAGCCGCATGATTTGGTCTGTGCTGCCGTGCCCCCAAGTCTCAGGCCTGCTGCTCGCAGCACCCCACTGATCCACACAGCTTCACCCTCTCGAGTCTGTGGAGTTTTCTAGTAGTTGACTTCTGAAGTAACTTCCATCATTTTTGGAAGAACACTCATGTTTTCTTACTTTTTTCAGGGGTGTTTTGAAATCCTTCATTGTATTTGATTGTATTTACTTTTTCTCTCAAATAATGTAGTTCAGTTTTATTTGAAGGAGGACTCCGTCACAGTATGAGATGCCTTCTGGCCTTTTGTTAAAGTGTTGGATGTAGTGGTTATGTTAAGAGTAGGAAGCATCTCCAGGCTCCAAAGTGTGTCATTTCGCCTTCCCTGAGCTACTGAGAAAGCAAAGCTAGTGTTGGAGTGTTGACCACAGTGGCGCTAGGGCTTTAAGTGGGGGGAAAGAAGAGAATAAAAGTTCGGAATGACCTATTAACTTAGCTGTCTTTTTACCACTTCACAGTTTTTTGCCAGTATGTTGACCTATCCCTTTGTGCTTGTCTCTAATCTTATGGCTGTCAACAACTGTGGGTAAGTGCCCTGCATTTCTGATTCTAGTAGTTGGCTGCCTGTTTGCCTGTTGGGCAGAGCAGTCCAGGCAGAAATTTGGGGAGGAAATGTTCAGTTGATGCCATTACTAGATTTCCTAAATTTTTTCTCTATATGCCCCATGTACCCGCGGTAGCATTGATGTATGTTCTATTATAAGCAGCCATCTCATATCCTCTGTTAGAATAAAGAAAGGCATAAGAAATATTTCTCAAGTACTTACCGATAATACACACATGCCTGTAGTTGAGGTCCTATTCTGAAAAGGTGGGATTGTGGTCAAATGACTCTATTTCCACATCTTTCCTTTGTTTTAAATCTTTATCTTCCTTTTTATGAAAGTTCATAGGATATGTCAGGGGTTGGATGACAGCTTATAGGGCTTCGTGGAGAAAGTAAGTTTCCTTTCCTAGGGGCTTCATGGAGAAAATAAGTTTTAAGGAAAGAAAGTAGAAAATTTGGTCCATAGAAAGTTTCTTTCTTTTTTTTCATGGGAAGTTTTTTAACCTGTCACTGTATTGGTTGGGAAGGATGGATGGTGGTGTGATGGTGGGCACCACTGATTTCCAGCTTCTAGAGGCCAAGTAACTGTACCACATTGGACAGAAATGTTGCCTCTGTCTTTAAGTCAGGACCCTTCCAGGACAGTGCCTGACACCGTATGCCATCAGACCTGTCGTTTTCAAGCAAGAGGTCAAATAGACAGCTGTGCGGAGTTTCGAACATAGTTACCATATTTCATATGCTGTTTGTTTATTGTTTGGTAGGGCACTGCCACATCTTAGCCCAGAGCATACTGGAAAAATGAGCTGAATGTATTACTATCCCTGACAAATTGTTAGGGACGAAGTGATTATGGGTTCCGTCTGAGTAAGGCATGTGGTCACCACTGTTTAGATCCATTGCCATATTTAAGTTCTTTTGAACATCACTTAGCTTTTAAGTCTCCTTTCCCTGCATATAATTGCTATGTTCTGGAATTGTATTTGTCCACAAATTAAAGATGTTTTAGAAAATGCATAATTGGTTGAAGTTTCTGTTTACTTGTTTCAAAACCTAAGTAAGAGGCAGGGAAATCCTTTTGGGATGCTTACTCTTTTTTCCCTGCTCGAACATAATTTGTTTCATTAGAACTCAAATTGCCTCTTGGGGAACTTTCTAGGTAAGAGAATATTTTGACAAAAATGTATTGAGCTCTTGAGAGAATGCTTTGTAAATGTTAATTTGAATAGCTCCTTTTTTTTTCCCCCCGTGTTTCAGGCTTGCTGGTGGATGCCCTCCTTACTCCCCAATATATACTTCTTGGATAGATTGCTGGTGCATGCTACAGAAAGAGGTACTTGTGTGTCTCTCTCTCTCCCTCCATTCCTCCCTCCCTCCCCTCGTCACCCCTGCTCTCTATTTTCTTTTGTTTTGTTTTTGTTTGTTTTCTTAAATAATGTCTCTGGAATCCCAGGTTAACTTTTGTAGCTTACCCTTTAACTACCAATGAATGTACCCTTGACAGTGTCCCGTGTGTCACTCCAGCATAGTCGTAAAATGTGCTGCTTAGACCTCATCAGGCAGGTAATGAGGAATTAAGAACCCCTGGATGTGACCTAGAAGCCATTTGAGTGATCACAAATCAAAAAGTAGGGTCTGGGTAGGCAGTTATCCTGGTGGTTGAAATGATGGCCTCGATTTCAGATTTGTTTTTCCCAGCCTCATCTTTTTGTAACTTCCCAGAATCTCCTTATATATTCAAATGTTTTCCTACAGTAGCGAGGAAACTGAGAAACGAGAAGCTGTTTGTTTATGACGTTATGTGTCACAATGATGTGGATGGAGCTGGCCTCTTACTTCTAGAGTGTTTTTAGAGAATGATTTTGTCCAGACTCCAATTTCTGGTTGGTTATTGCTGTGAGGTGAGGTGCATCAGCTGCAACCACAAATTCTCAACCAGTCTAGGCAAAACTTTATTAGGAACCAAAATGGGTGGCTGTGTGCTGAATGTAACACGGGGTTACTTATAATGGCCATCAGTTTAAAGCTGTTTTTAAGTGGGAAGCACTTTTTAGAGGATTGTAGAAGATAATGTATGAGGAAGCTCTTTGTTGCATTTTGTTTTAGCACTTGTCATGCATGTGAGAAAGGCCTTTGTTCAGAGCTCAGCCTGAACTATGAGTGAAAAGGCCTAAGTGCTACTATAGCTGCCTTTTTGTCCAGCGAGTGTGCTCAGCGAGCCCCTGTGTGAGTCCAGGCTAGAACACGAAGGATTTCCGTACACACCTAACATGAACGTTCTGGGCTCCATTCTGAGTCTTACACTCTCTGTTGGGCGACTAGTCTTTTCGTGGTTCCCATTTAAAGGAAAGATGGCCTTTCTTCCCCTGCTTTCTAACTGATCCCCACCTGTAGGAAGAAAGCAGATAGAAAATGTATGTGAGTATCAGACACCTTACGGAGGGAGCAGTCAGTCCCATAAGTGCTTTAGGACAAGAGTAGCAAATCTTGATGGGGTATTCGCTGTATACCAGGCATTGTGCTGAGAGTCTCCCATGTGTCAGCTCGTGTAACTCTCAAAATAACCATATGAGTAGGATGCATAGGTACCATTCTTTATCGTCCCACTTCACCTCTGAAGAAACTGGGACTTTGAACCATTAAATAATGCTAATTCTGTACCCCAAAGTTACACAGCCTGCATTTGTGATAGCAGGATCTGTGTGCAGCCAGTCTGACTTCAGAGTCTAGTCACTTAAGCTCCTAACGTTATTACTGTAATTGTAACATTTTAGAAGTACTTTCTAGAGAACTGACCATTCCATTAAAAAGTATATAAAATCTAGCACTTAGCAAGTGATAGAACTGTCTCAGCACTTTATATGTATTCACTCATTTGATAACCCAGCCAGCAAGTGGCAGAGCCAAAATCCAAACCGGGAATTCTGTGGAAATGTGTCAGAAATTCTTGCCTTACCCATGTGGCAAAACTGTAGTTAATTCTGCAAAAGCTCGGCTTGAGTCCGAGCATGCTTTGCTGCTGTGTCCAGTGATAGCCCAGTCTTGTCCTGACCATTTTAGTCGCGTCTCCAGAAACATGTCCAGTTGGATCTCTGCTGATTTGGACTGGCTGACTTCATGTTCACACTAGACTTTATTTGTTTTTATTTTATTTTTTTTTCCAGGGAAATATGAGCCGAGGAAATAGCTTGTTTTTCCGGAAGGTCCCCTTTGGGAAGACTTATTGTTGTGACCTGAGAATGTTAATTTGAAGATGTGGGGCAGGGACAGTGACATTTCTATAGTCCCAGATGCACAGAATTATGGGAGAGAATGTTGATTTCTATACAGTGTGGCGCGCTTTTTTAATAATCATTTAATCTTGGGAAAATGGAGGTGTTTGGTGTCTGCCTTTTTTATTCTTTTTCCCAGCACTACGTAATTTACCGTTGATAGTCCCCCTTTAATTACTCTGAAATGGGATGTTTTTGCCTCAGACTCCTTACTTAAACAGAAAAAAAAGTTGCATTTTCCTAAAGGTATAGGCAGGTGGTCATGTGGTTTGAGTCTTAATTTTAAGGCTTTGTAAAATGTAGAGTACATTCGCAAGAAGAAAGAAATCTATAAAACTTAAGAAATTTAATAAGGTAAACTATGTGGGAGGTTATGAATTACCTTTTCTTTAGTAGTCTTTAAAACCTCAGCATCCACCAGAATCTGCCTCTCATTATATGCTTCTAAGCACATTTGATTCACCCTGTCTCTCATCCTTCAAAAAAAGACAATCCATTGCTAAATTACCTTGGAAAATCTCTACAGGGGTATCCACTCCTTCAGTCTCTTACTGCAAAGTAATAAATTGTTGCCAACAACAAAAAAAGGGAAAATTACAGAGAATAAGCAAGATTTGGAAAGGAAGCATAATGGCTTCTTTTTCCCCCAGAAAAAATTCTTGTTGTCATAAGTCCCTAAATTATTTTCATTGTATATAATTTTTTTGTGTAGAGTAAAATCTTATAATACTTTCTTCAGTTTTTAATTTTGTTTCTTTTTTGTTGTTGCAGAAGGTGAGTAGTTTACTTTTCAGTCCTAATGACACCCTTGGAAAGTGTACTTATAACTCCTTATCTGATAACGCAGACTTAAGTCCAAGGGGTTCTTAGGATATTGACCATCTCGCATGTCATACCCTCAGTTAAGCATGTTAACATTTATAGGAGGAAAAAATTACTTTAGAAGGAAATAACTTCAACTCCAGCATAAAGCTCCTATTTACTCAGGCCTTTTTAAAGCAGCTTAAAATGCTCTAAATGAGAAAGCATATGGTTTCATTTAAGTAATCCACTGGATATTGCCAAATGAGCAAGCACTTAATTTGCTGCTCCTCAGACTTCTCTATCAAAAGAGCAGCGCCTGTAGTATTAGAGTGAGCATGTAGGGGTCTCCTCCTTCCCTCAGGGTTTAGGAATACAGCCTGAAGTTCATGAGTAGCCTACCGTGAAATGTCTTTGGTGTCTCTTGCTTTGTCACAAAAAGTAATGTAAATTTTATATTCTATTCAATATTATCTGCATTTGTTTTCATATGAAACTGTTTTGCATTACCCACTTTTTCCCCCCCAAAATTCTTCAGTAAAGATGATCTAGGAAAATGTGCCATGTTTATTATCCTGTGGCTTCTGTGCTCATAATACCTGCCTGTTTCTAGTTGAGAAGCTTATTGGACTGTAAGAACCAGTCTGCCACCAGAGGGCGCCAAGGCTTCGGTTTTGCCTGTGCAAGTTGGGCATGAAAAATTTTAGGAAGGCCTGGAATTTGTTCAAAGTGCTGTCATCTCAGTCTAACTGCATCCAAGGTATAGCTCCAATAAGGGTGCTCAGTCCTCCATAATATTATATAAGCTGTTAGCATAATCAGATATCTATAGAGTTTATTCAGGGTTTAGTTAAATGTGTGTAGGTATTCTTAAAATACACCTGCAAGATATAATGAACTGACTCATACGTGTACACACTACAGACGTGGATAAGGATCATCTAGTAAGCTGCACTTGTGAAACTGGGCAAGTGGTTTGCCTTGGCAAGTGCTGAGCTAAGTTCTGAGGAAGTATTCCCTCAGGGGCTGTGATGGTCATTGAAGTAAAGGATCTGGGATTTCCTGAAACTTTTGGAATGGCTGTAAAAACAGCAGGGTATAAAAGCAACCTTAGGGTGAAAGAGACTTTAACCGTAGCCCTTCATTCCAACTTCTTACTGATACCTAAACATAACCTTGGCTTTGCCTCTGACTTTCTACTCTAGAAATACCTTCCTTTCCAATTCCTCATTGAGATTTTCCCCATCTCTCTCTGAAGTCTCTCAGTCCTCCCAACCAGATGAGGTCTGCCTTCAGACTCCTGCCCCAGGGCTTGTAATTACAGTACAAACCTGTCTGACAAAATGGAAGCTACATCTGTTACTGCTAAGTTCAGTGCATACACAGCAATGGCATTACTTCTCTCTGATTTGAAAATATGTGAGGAAAAAGAAAAATCATATTTAGCCCTTTAAAGCAGGCCCACTAAAACATCAGCCCTGCTGGGCTTTATAAAATAACTAGCCTGTCAGCTAGCAGTACATGCAGTTGGTCGCTTTGAGGTCCTGTGGCAGGTTAAGGGAGCACGAAGAGAGAACAAGTATTGGGAAATCGTGACTGTCTAGCCTGTCACCTAAGTTTTCATTCTCAGAATCTTTGGTAGGGTAGGTATCCACACTTTAGAAATAAAATGAGAAAGAAAATTTAGAAATAAAGAATTAGTAACTCACTCAAAATTACATAGATATTTCTGAGCTGGATTCAATATCTAAGTCTTTAAATCCAAGCTATGTTTCCTGCTTCATGGATGCTCTGAAATGCTGAGAAAATCCAAGAACATGCCTTCCACAGAGTGGAAGTGTAGAATGTAGAGTGTAGAATGGCCTTAAATCAAAAAGACCTAGTTCTTGCCTCTGCAGAATGACAAATACGTGAAGCAACCAAAAATAGGAATGATCGCCCTTACTCTCCCGGCCATTATGATAGTTTATGTAGATGGAAAGCTGAGTTATTGTACAGTTGGCATTCCTGGGAGTACCATCAGTCCATGTATGTGGCCGTCTACTATACTTGGAGAGTAACATTTCTTCAAAGTGATTTATGTGTCAGCCCCTCTGATGGATTTTTCCAGAATATCCCAGCATATTGAACAGGTTCATTCAGGCTGCCTCCCTAAATGCCATAGTGATTTATGCCTTTGGAGTTTTTTGTTTTTTAGATACAAAGATAAATGTTTTTGATCTCCTTTACAGAGCTTTTTGGGCTTACCTAAGGATGTCACACGTGACATCTGATTTTATTTTTTTCTTCCCCTCATCTGTTGATCCCTCCTCTTCCTGTCTCTTCAGACTTGACTGTTCCAGAACCTTGCATTCTGGTTTTTGCCCTAGAGGGAAAATTGTGAATGAAGGATTCTTTTGTCACCAACCAAAGAATACTTTCTTTCCAGGAAAATATCTTTGATGATAATAGCGATTAGTTTTCTAAGGTAACTGTGTTTTCCTTCTAAACACCATTGTGCGTATCCGTCAGCTTCCTCATGTTTGCTGCCTAAAGCGATGTGTGGAGGAGGCCCCTCGCAGTGCTCGTGTTCACATGTTCACATGTCTCTCCCCAACACGCCCTGCTAGCCTGGCGGGACTGCGTGGCCGGGAGACAGAATCGAAAAGCCCAGTTTCCCTCGTTCCCATAAGTGGATTCCTCTGAGGTCCAGGCTCGAACCGTCCTGGCTGTGTTCTTTTAGGCGGATTTTGCATTAAAATCACAATTGTTCTGGAACCACCTCACGACAACCCTGAAAAAGAGTGTTTTCAAATAGATGCCGATCAGCCATGCCCCGACAGGCAGTGGGAGAGCAGACAGCTTAAGAGAGCGGCAGGGGAAAGAAGGAGAGAAACAAGTGTGAACCCGAGGCACTAGTCAAGATGCTCCGCCTTCCCGAGAGGGACAGCTGACGATGGACCAGACCTTGTCCCTCCCAAAGCCTGCAGCGTGGCAGCGGGCGAGAGAGTCTTCCGCACCAGCTCCTGCCTTGCCAAGGCAGCCCGAAGAACAGACTCTTTCCGATAGTGCCACATTTTCACGGAGAAGCTGTTAGGTATTACAGTTTATTTCCAGAGCAGCACAAGGAGCCAGAGGTTAGATAGGGACAAGAGAAATGTACCTACTTGCTTCCTATCCAGTCTGGGGCCCTGCCCTGCTGGCGTCAGAAGACTGGAGAGAATGTACTTTGGCTGAAAACGAGTAAGGAGGGTGAAAACGGAAAGAGCAGAGCCGCACCTCACTTCAGACGGCTCACCTCCCACTGGAATGGTCTCCAACCCCCCTGGCCCCCGGGGGGCCCACGCTTAGAGTCTGAGTGCAGCGCTCAGCCATCAAGTACGCAGCCCGCACGTGGTCCTGTGCTGGGGGCAGCGGGGGCCTGAAGACGTGTAATAAATTCCGTCCCGTGGCGCAGGCTGGGCAGGGAGGGAGGGGGCAGTGTGACAAGGACATAAAAGCTAGGAATGTTGGGAGGATTAAACAGAACCATGTGTGGAACAGCAAAGCCGGGCACGCGGCAAGGGCCCTCCTCGGGTCCCCGCGCCCGCTGCGGTGGCTTGCACGGAGCGGCGTGTGCCAGAAGCTGGAGCCAGCCCCGTGGGATCCGCAGGAGGGCACACGGAAGACTTCATGAAGGAGTGGCAACGGACATGGTTTCTTAAGGACAGTGAGGATCCTGGGAGCAGTTTCCAGCTCTGTCACTTAGCAGCCGTGCAGACTTGGGCAAGTTGCTTGATGGTTTTAAGCCTCGGGCTCCCCGTCTCTAAACAGAACACTACTCTGACCGGAGTGTTAAATTTAGCGCCGTGCCTGATGGAGTACATTTGGTCTTGGGAGCTGTTGTTACTTAAGGATTAAAAACGGGAGTGCTTTACAAGTCCAGACCGTAAGTTCAAGGTCACAGAGTCAGCGAGGCTAGAGTGGAGGGCAAGGGAAATTGCATCTCTAACAGCCCTACCCTTTCTTCTAAGCTGTTTCTGCCACGTAATGAACACCCAGAACCGACACTGACGTGGTACTCAGTAAATGTTGGATGAGTGGACGTCCTTCAGGGTCCTCGGACCAAGTCACATCTGAGACCTTCCCCCCAAGCCTACCCTGGGGGCACTTGCTTTCTCGAACTTGACTAAGCCCTTCATTGCCGCCCTGTTTCCCAGACTCAAAACCCTGGAGATGACTTTTGAGTCCTCTCTACTCCTCCCCCTACTTCTGAGAAGTCACAGCTGGATTCCCAGACATGCCTCTTGACTTTGTCATCCCCGCGGCCCCAGCGCCTGGGTGCACGTCTCCACTGGGCAGCAGCTTTCTATCTTGTCTTCCTGCCACCAGCGCCAGCCAGGAGGCACTGACCAGATAAAGCTGGGGCTCCACAGCATGCCCCGGGGTGGGGGTGGCGGGTGGCGAACACCGCAGTTTCTCTCTGCCTCCACAGGCCTCCAGCGACAGATAAAATGCCCTTTTTGGACCCAGTTGCCTAAGATTTCTTACCCTCGCATCCTTAGATCATTACACCCTGAGCACAAGCTGGTCCATTTTCCTCCCACGACCTCCCCTGCACCGCACATTTGTACCTACCAGCAGCTGCTCTCTGTTATCTTCCACGAAGCCTCATGCAGGCGGAGCCAAGCTGGGAGACAGGGATATTTATAAGTAGAAAGTGGGTGTCAACTTCTGCAGTCGCAAACATTTTAAATAAGCCTAATTCCACCTCTCCTCCATTTGAACTTTGAAATTCCTGTCCACCTCCTCATCTCCCATCTCTTCCCAAAGCCCGTGAGTTCCTGTCCTCGATAAACCTGGAAACCTTGGTGGCTAAGAGATGTGACCTGGGGAGAAGTATGGGAAACCGTGAATTCAGAATTTATAGACACCTGGACAGAGTAAAAGGCATTGAGGTAACATAAAGGTACCAACCACCTAATATGATTTTTGGGGTCTATCATATGTCCTGCCCTATACCCATTAGCTCACACCTGTGAAACACCCAGTAAAAATACTACCCCCATTTTACTGAGAAAAGCTCAGAAGGGTTACGTCACTTGCCTAAAACTGGTAAGTGACAAAGCCAGGATTCAGACCTGGGTCTGCAAGTCTGAGGAATTTCTAACAGTGTGCCAGGCACATATATTGAGTCCTGCTAATTTTGTCTGCATAAAAATAGGGCAACAGACTTACATGAGGAGTCAAACATGAAACTTGATGAGCGGGAACTCGTGACTCTATAAGAGTGAAAGGGTCAATGTCATATATTAATTCATGCATACTCAGAAGCCCAACAGACTGGTTTCATTAAGAAAAAGTATGTACTGGCCCAAGTCACAAGTGGCCAGTGGTTAATCCAGTGGTTGGAACATGGGCATCAGGATTCCCATTCTCATCACTTCAACCCCACTGGCCTCGGCCTGGTTTCCTTCACAGGCTCACTCAGCATCATAAGCAGAAGCCAAATGGCAGCTCTACTCGCATGACTTCTCAGAGCTTGTAATTCCAGAGAACAAACAAACAACTCGTAGGGAAGCTCCAGTAAAAATCCCCTGA